GTTTACGGACCTGTTGCTATGACAGCAACTCCGGGATGAGCTTCGAACAACCAAACAATCCAAGATCATGCCAAATCATCAGCAATCAAATCCAGCTAACTGAGTTAGCGATGTACGAAGAACGGGCCCCAGGTCCAACTGATCTGGAATGACCGGAAGGTGAAAGTAATTTCTTGGTAAACTGACTGCAATAAAACATACCTGTGATAGAAATGCTTTCTTTCTGTACCTTACAGAACTAAAACACAAACAAGCAGCCAGTTTTAATTTCTGTTTTACTTAAACACATAAACAGTGGTCTGTGGTGTAAAGCTAGTGTGAAAATAACTGTTCACACTTAGACTGATGCTGCAGACTTTACATAGCATGCTGCTTTAAAGGGACAGTACACTACAAACATAAAATTCTATCATCATTTGCTCAACCTCATGACTTTATATGACTTTTGTTTGAATTCATTTCTTCAGTGGAGCACAAACGGAGATATTTTGAAGAGCGTTGGTAAACGTATTACTTTGAACCCCACTGACTTCCGTAGCATGGACAAAAAACATTTCTCAAAATACCTTCTTTTGTGTTTATCTGAAGAAAGAAATAATTTCTAGAAACAGTAGTGCAGTGTATAATCAATCAACCAATCAATTAATCTATTTTCATTTTATTTTTGAGAAGATTGCAATATATTCTACTGTTCAGTATTGGCAAGTTACCAAGTAAGTCATTACTAATTTTTAGGTTAAAAGAGTGTTTTACCTCCGGTCACGTGTAGCTGAACTTCAGTGAATATGAAGGACCCAGAACTCTCCTCTGCACACCAGTATTTCCCAGAATCCTCTGCTCTCAGTTTGCTGATCTTCACAGTAAAGACTCCAGCAGAGGTTTATTCAGTCAGAGAGAATCTGCTGTTTGTGCTGTTATTTGATGAAACATGAACTCCGTCTCTGACGCAGATATTCGGCTGATCTCGTCTGCAGAAAAACCTCTGTGCTTGATTCCTGATGTGTTTACAGCTGATGGACGCTGATCTTCCGACAGACGCTTCATGAGTGACCGCTGAAGAGCACAACATTAAATATGATGAGTTTGATTACAGAAGGAGCAGAAACATTGAGATTATTCCCAAATAAACATCCTCACCGTCCTTCATGATGATCATGAGCTCAATGGGAAGGTTAAACGCATCTTTCACTGCACACCAGTATTTCCCAGCATCCTCTGCTCTCAGCTCAGTTATGGTCACAGTGAAGAGATTGAGTTCAGTGTCGTCCTTTACTGAAATCTTTGGGTTTTTAACATGATCTTCATCTGACCAAATGATATTTTGAGCATCTCGAGTGAAACACTTTCCTTTGCACAGAAGCTTTATTTCTTTTGTGTGGTTTTCATCATAAGGGCATTTGATCTCGACTGAATCTCCTTCACGAATCTTTCTGGATGAATTTCTTGTTTTCTATGAATTCTTGTGGAAATTTACACGTGATGAAGACTGCTTTACTGATGTAGGCCTCAACCTGGACAGAAGATATTTGACCTGCAAGACAAGATTTATTTGTTGATTTATTACATTATTTACCAGGAGAGATTTACATTTCTTATTTAGAGCTGCAAGGATTTTATCATTAAATAGAAAATGAACTCACTATAAACATTCAGCTCAATCTCCTTAATGAAGGTTATGTGAGTAATTTTTTCTGAAGGTGGTTTATCAGATCCGTCTCTCTCCACTCCACATAAATAAACTCCACGCTCCGCTGCAGAAATGTCTCTGATGGTCACAGTAAAGTGATCTTTCTCTCTGTCAGTCAGGATGAACTTCTCTTCAGATGATTGAGATGATTGAGAGCTGTTCAGCACAAGCACAGGATCTCCCTTCACTCTGTAGAAGACTTTGGTGTGTTTTTCAAACCCTCGTTCATATTCACAACTGAAAGTGATCGTTTGACCAATATATGCAGTCTGGATAACAGACGTCCCAGAAGAAGAAGACTCTGAAAATGATTTCAATAAATCATTGTGACATGCACGGAAATCTTACAATGCTATTAGTGTTATTAAAGGTGCACTACAGAGAACTTTGGCCTCTCTATCGCCATCTCTGTTTGACAGATACAGTGTCATGGTTCTTGCAGAGTTATTTACATTAACGTGTGTTGTGCATGTTTTTAGGTCTATGTACTGTATGGTCACCTGTGATCAAAACACGAGAGAGATCTGTCATCCTACATCAAGACAGTGAGAGAAAAACAAGGCAAATATCCAGAAAAAAAAATGTCAAATGAACAAGTAAATTTTAGTAGACGGTCTTCTTTCTGTGACCTCACAAATATGACTGATGTAAAAGTGACATTTCAGTCAGCTCAAATTATAAATCATTATTATACTGTTGTGAATTATTATAATGCAGTGAGGCAGTCATAACACTGAGTTATGAATTTGAACAATAGCTGATTTTTCTGTAGTGCACCTTTAAATATTATTATAATACAAGTATAATAAAATAGTAAGTTATAAAGTATCATACGCACTTCTGTTCACCATTAAATCAACATCATGACTCCATTTCTGCTTGTTTCCACATGTGTATTCCCCATCATCCTCTCTGCTGAGGTTCCTGATAAACACTGTGAAGAATCTGCTGTTTTCATCGTCATACATAGCGAATCTCCCATTATAATCCCAGCGGCGCTGAGTCTCAGTATTGATTCCTGTCGTACAGTCTCTGTTTCTGCAGAAATACTTTCCTTTATGCTGATCATTAGGCTTTCTCTGGTTCGGGGGTTTTGCGTTATGTTGCTCATCAGACTTATACATGCACTTGAACATTACACTCCCTCCAGTGCAGCCAATCACTCTTAAACAAAGTACCTGGCCTGCCAAACACAAGTTAATTTGCTCTATATTATTATAATGATCAGTTAAAGCTCAGGTTTGAGTAACCAGTAAAGAACTGACCTGACATCAGGCAGAGAGTGAAGAAGATGGTGATTGTGATGGCGGCCCTCATTCCTGATTTACTTTAATCTCACAGATATTCAGAGAACCAGTAGTTCAGATCACAGTCATATATAAACGTACACTCATATCCTCCACTCACATTTCTGCTTCCTCTTTCTCTGAACGCCTCCACCCATCAACAGGGCGTCAACTGTGAGAATATGTGTGAAAGACTCACACAGGCCACTGTCCTGCAGAGTTTAGCTTCATCCCTAATCAAATACAGCTGATAAATCTAACCTTCAGGATGGCTTGAAAATTGCGGGCAGCTGTGTTTGATGGATTAGGGGTGCCGCGATATACCGGTATTGACGATAACCGTGATATTCAAATCATGAAATATCGACATTGTGTTAATTTAGGGTGTGATGATATAACGGTATTGGCGATAACCACAATATTAAAAATGAACAGGACACTTATTATAACAGACACGCAAATAGCCTACTCCAGCGCCAGTACCTGCTTGACCTCCCAGGGGGCAGTATTATCTCCGAGAAGAACCATGCTCAATATTATACAGACAGTAATTGCCATTATGTTACTAGTCATGGAATGGGAAACGTTACTTAACAGTGGTTTCCTGTTTTCATATATTTAAATAAAATGTGCATAAAATTCAAGGCATTAATGATTCCCTACAAAACCACCACCGTCTCTGCACCCCTTTACCTAAATTCATTACTTCAGAATTATGTGCCCTCTAGAAGCTTGCGTTCTGCAAGTGAACGTCGCTTTATTGTTCATCCCAAAGAGGAACAAATCACTTTCACAGACTTTTACATTAAATGTCCCCTCCTGGTGGAATGACTTGCCCAACTCAATCCGAGCAGCATCTTCAAGAATCAGCTAAAAACACATCTGTTCCATCTTTATTTGACCCTCTAACTCTATTATCTGTTTTCTTTTTATTGTCTTTTATTTTATTTGTTTATCAGGTGGATGCTGCACACTGGTGGTGGTTGAGGAGATTCCCCCCCTTTCATGTAAAGCGCTTTGAGTACCCAGAAAAAGCGCTATATAAATGTAACAAATTATTATTATTATTATTTATTATACAATTTCAAAAAAACCTTGCTACATGCCATGCACTGAATGCCACATCTGCAGCCGTTCTAGGCACACATTAAAACTGAATTAGAAGTGCGTTAACTGCATGATTTCATTGGCGCCAGCGCAACTATAGGTTAAAGGGTTACTCCACCCAAAAATGAAAATTTTGTCTTTTGAAAAAACGGTTAATAACACATGATGTATTGTAGTAATGTTGTCTCTGGTCGTCTGATCTGTTCACGTTCATGCGTTCAGGGGGCGTGGCTTTGGACGGCTATTTGTAGGTAGGGTGGGGCACACGCTTTCAGTGCTATCAGGCTAAAGTTAGCATTTTCCAAGATCTCCTACTGCACCTTTAAACAGGTGATAGTAATTGGATATGAATACTTATGTATATATGCAAAGTGTAAAATTGTTGCATTTTATTTTAATGCTGCTAATCAGATTCTCTTGTTTTGTCTGCTCTGCTCTGATCGTCTCCTTCTCCATCTGCTCCACCCTAGTGGTCTCCTGCTCCATCTGTTCTGCCCTGGTGGTCTCCTGCTCCACTTGCTCCACCATGTTGGTCTCTTCCTCTGCTCTAGTGGTCTCTTGCTCTGTCTGCTCTGCCCTAATGGTCTCCTGCTTTGTCTGATCCATCCAGGTGATCTCCTGTTCTGCCCTGGTGGTCTCCTGGTTCTTCTGCTTTGCCCTGGTGGTCTCTTGCTCGGTCTGCTCTGCCCTGATGGTCTCCTGCTCTACACTGGTGGCCTCTTGCTTTGTCTGTTCTGCCCTGATGGTCTCCTTCTCCATCTGCTCCACCATGATGGTCTCCTGCTCTGTCTGATCCACCCTGGTGATTTCCTGCTCTACACTGGTGGTCTCTTGTTCTGTCTGTTCTGCCCTGGTGGTCTCCTGGTTTGTCTGCTTTGCCCTGGTGGTCTCTTGCTCTGTCTGCTCTGCCCTGATGGTCTCCTGCTACATCTGCTCCACCCTGGTGGTCTCTTCCTCTGCTCTAGTGGTCTCTTGCTTTGTCTGCTCTGCCCTGATGGTCGTCTTCTCCATCTGCTCCACCCTAGTGGTCTTCTGCTCCATCTGTTCTGCCCTGGTGGTCTCCTGCTCCATTTGCTCTACCCTCCTTGGTGGTCTTTGACTCCACTCTGGCTACCTGCCTTGTTGGCTCCACACTAATTACCTGCAATGCTGGCTTCATCTTGGTGCCCTGCACTGCCTCTGTTTCCTTACCCACTTCCACCTCATTGAAGTGGCCTGTCTTCCCTCCCCTGATCCACCTCCACTCTACCACCCTCATGTACTCTTGTTTCAGTATGTGGAGCATCTGTAATCCAAAAATGTATAACATTTAACATGTATAGGATATAATCATTGTCACTGATTACATACTGACTTAATGTGTAAGGTATTGTGTTGAACACAATTCTGTTGTTTCAGCAAAGCGGAATTATGAGTATTTATATCCTGGTGTCACAATTGCCTTTTACATGGGGGACCCAGAACCACAATTTCAGTATGAATCAGAATCAGAATCAGAAAGAGCTTTATTGCCAAGTATGTTTGCACATACAAGGAATTTGTTATAGTGTCACAAGCTTCCAGTACACGGAGACAACAACAACACACAGAAAATAAAAATGAGATGTGAATAAAAAACACAAGCATAAATATAAACCACAAAAAAAAAGAATAAATTGTATGTACAGGTGTGCTATAGATAGAATAGGAATAGAATAAAATAAAATAAAATAAAGTTGTAGGGATGTACTAGGATTTAGGGTGATAAATAAGTATAAGGTTATTGCACATACTGTACTTTAATTGCACAATGGGAGAACATTAACTGTTCATGAGGTAGATTGCCTGGGGAAAGAAACTGTTCTTGTGCCTGGCTGTCCTGGTATTCGGTGCTCTGTAACACCGACCAGATGGCAAAAGTTCAAAAAGGAGATGGCTTGGATGTGATGGATCCAGAGTGATTTTCTGAGCCCTTTTCCTCACTCTGGATGTATACAGTTCTTGGAGGGTAGGCAGGGGAGCACCAATAATCCTTTCAGCAGTCCGAACCGTTCTCTGTAGTCTTCTGATGTCTGATTTTGTAGCTGAACCAAACCAGACAGTTATTGAAGTGCACAGAACAGACTCAATGACGGCTGAGTAGAAGACACAACCCTGAGGGGTGCCAGTGCTGGTGGTGCGGTTGCTGGATGTGAATTTACCAATTCTCACTAGCTGTTGCCTATCTGTCAGAAAGCTGGTGATCCACTGACAGATAGAGCTAGGGACAGAGAGCTGGGTTAGTTTGGTCTGGAGGAGTGTTGGGATGATGGTGTTGAAAGCGGAGCTAAAGTCCACAAACAGGATCCTCACATAAGTCCCTGTTTTGTCCAGATGTTGCAGGATGAAGTGCAGTCCCATATTGACTGCATCATCCACGGACCTGTTTGCTCGGTAAGCAAACTGCAGGGGGTCTAGTAAGGGTCCAGTAATGTCCTTCAGATAAGCCAACACCAACCTCTCAAATGTCTTCATGACCACAGACGTTAGGGCCACAGGTCTGTAGTCATTAAGTCCTGTTATCTTGGGTTTCTTTGGGACGGGGATGATGGTGGAGCGTTTGGTATTTACAGGTAATTGAACGCTTACTGTCACTAACACTAATTACATAGGTACATCATGATTATTGATGGGTTTTCACTGCAAAGCCACAGTAAATTCAGTCATTTTGGGCTGCAAAATCAGAAAAAAAGTCACGCAAAATCCTGGTGGGACTGATTTTGCATCTAATAGCATTACAAAATGATATTTTATAAAAACAAAGGTTATTGAAATATGTTTTACAAGAAAATACTACTTCAGTCTTTCTACTTCAAAATTTAATGTTTAATTCAGTGTTACTTTTTGTGAAATTTACTAGCAATTTATGAGTGAGAAATGCTTCATCACCACTTTTTTTTTCATTGTAAAGTTCATCTTTCTTGGTAATCAATGATCCATGTTTTGATATTGTCAGAATAATGTCTAAACACTTTTCTAATTCAAACACACCTCATTGTGAGTACTGGAGATCCCGCAGAGGAAGATGAGGTCTGCGATGAAGAGACAGATGCTCAGATGAAGATGAATGCTGTTTCGGGTTCCTTGGATGGACCGGCAGAACAGGAATGTCAGGATACAGAGAAATAAACAGGCCAGAGACAGAACTAAACCCACACGCGTGATCAAAACCAACTCAAATGCATCCTGGAGGAGAGGAAGTGAAAATAATCTCATTTAATTTAATCTCAAATCCAAATGAAAAATGTGAAATCTCAGTTTTGCATGTACCTGGACAGGATAGAGAGCCATGAGCACAGCGAAACTACTGAAATGAGACCAGTAACACACTGTATGAGTGCTGTTAGACGACGCCCCCTCACAGCCCTCCTCAGACCACGCCCCCTCAGCCTCATTCCAGTACACACAGGAGTAAACCACGCCCTCAGACTCCGCCCTCTCCTGAAGAAGTGAGAAAAGAGTTTAGAAAATGAGGAACACTTGAACACCTGCATGAAAAGTTTGGTAATGGCAGATGGTTTCCTGCTGGTTTAAGAAGGTCATTAGTAGCGTTGCTATAGTTAACAAACTAAAACCATGAAGAAACATTTTAGTTACTTAAAATATAGACACTTAAACTTATTTTATTTCAGCTAGTTGCAAAGGTAACATTTCACATTTTTATTTAGAGTAGCTTGATGTTCTAAAATAAGTTAAACTAAAACTGAAATAAAATTAATAAAATTTTTATTTCATTTCATTTATATTATTAAAACCTTTACCAGTATTATTTAGTGTCACTGATATATTATTAGAGTCTCTACCAGCAACAAACCAGCTACTTGCTGCTCATACAAGCTTAATGTGGTCAAGCTGGTTTTTGGAACAGCTTGTAAACCAGCTAGAATCCAACTTAAACTGCATTTTCAAACAGGGAATACACATTTTCATGGTACTTTTTCATTTGAACTGTTAAACCATTAACAGAAACGGTCTCCAGAGAGATCTTGTGCTGGTCATAAGCTGGTCTGTCAGTATCTTCACCTCCACGTGTGTAAAGACGAGCGTCACCGGCTCTGACAGCTGCTTGGTTTCTGCATTACTGACGACGGCCGTCACCACTTTAGAGTTGAGTTGATAAGTGACGCTTCTCTCTTTATCGTCTGATCTCTCGCTGCTCATCTTGTGGAGCAGGTCACTGGATGAGTTCAGATCTTTATAACTGACCAGAGCCGCAAACGCAAAACCTGTGAACAAGAGAACATTTACATCTCGTCATGAAAGTGCTGATGGTTTCATTAGTACATATATGTGCACGTGTTTATTTGTACCTGGATATGATTTCCCTACAACTGTTTCCCAGCTTGTGCTGAAGAGGGCGGAGTCTGTGCTCAGAGAGACACGCCCACTGGGCGGAGTCTGATTCCGTGTGACTGCAACCTCAGCAACTGTCAATCACATGATCATAAAGAACAACTGCTTTCAATCTCAATTAAACACACCATTAAATCTGAATGTGCGTGTAAATCACTCTGAATAATAAAAATGCCTTATTTTCAGTATTTCCATTCAGTACCACAGTGTGACTGTGTCTGAACTGTAATGTTTGTTGTTTCTCACAGGTGTTGTGTGTCTCCATCCTGGTCACAGGCTCTCTCATATGCAAATAATAGTTTCTAATTCTCACCGATGCATTTTGACTGGTTGTTGCCATAGTTACTGTAACCCTGATGGCATTTACAGCTGTAGCCACCTGGATTATTGTAGCAGTCTGCGTTTCTGCCACAAACATCTGGATCTGAACACTCATTGATGTCTGAGAGAGAAAAAAGATAGGAAAACAGTCTCTGTTAGTCATTTTAAGATAATTGCACATACTTAGACACACATCCAGCTGATTTGATGTGGTGTTGGTGCTGCATCAGCATCATACAGTCCAAACTGGTAGCTGTTGTTTAACATATGTCAGATTAAACTGATAGGCCAGAAAAACAAAAGGTACCTTCACATTCTGCTTCAGAGCCAGTTGAGGTCTGAAACTCCATATCACCAGATCCAGAAAACTCGTTCTCGGGACACTTGTTTATATCTGACCGGAGGGAAAGACAGCAGCTGGCGTGAATTATTGTTTTAGTACAAATTATATAATTATAAATTAAGCCAGACTGTGTACTGCAATATGATCAAATGCTTTTACAATGTTTCGTAATTCCTTTTGAATCAAAGTTCATGCGAATTAATACCTTCACACGGGAAGCTCTCTTTGAATCCTACATCACAGCTGCAGTAGTAACTTCCAGGTGTATTTACACACCGAGTACGATCACCACACACACTCGGAAAAATCACACACTCATCCTCATCTGGACATATGAAGGGAATCAGGAAGGAAGCATGCATTTTAACTTAGTAATGACTAGAACTACAGTTCTAGAACTCCCTCTTTTAGACCACAAAAGGACATACTTTCACTTTTGTACTGTTCAATTAAACCACAAGCTCATAATTACCAACACATTTGTTTTTAACAAGTTTAAATCCAATGGCACAACCACTGCATGATGGTAGAAAGAGACCTGGGAAGAGACAGAAAAAAATAGAGCTATATTGAAATCATATAAATAATTTTTTTTTTTTCAGCTTTCTAGCATGCAAGCAACACAATGGAAACTGGGTGAAAATGAAACTCTGTAAAGGTAAACAACTTCACATTATAAATGTGGCTTTATAATTTATTTTCACATATATATTAAATATTATAAATGTATTTATTTGATTTGAACTGTAAGCGCTCACACCACAAATAAGGTAGGAGAACACGCATATGGAAATATTATTTGTAGCAGTGACATTTAAAAAAAAAAAATACTAAAAAGTAAATCCTAAACATCCATTTATCCATCCAACAACTTACATAAAAGATTTAACTGGGAGAGCATTTGATATGGGTTCTGTGAGTAAAATATTAAAAGTGTAAAGCGTTTATTCTTCCACAGTGAACTTTAATAGGAATTTTGGCTTGTATTTCAAAAGTGGCTTCATTCCAAACACGTCATTACAGCCATTACACTGTGATCTTAAAGTAGGAATATTGCTGAAGGATAAATACCTTGCCTTTTTGCTAAATAGCCTGATTGTATTTTTATAGATGCATGTATTTAAGGGTTAAGCCCCATTTCAGCAGATGGAAAAATGAACCGACAGTATCTGCAAAAACCTCTTCTTTTCATAACAAGACAAAAATTGTGTTCTTGTGGGTTTTCTTTTGTTCTTGTGGTTTTATGTATTAATGGTATAAGAGTGTGCAGAAATAAAGCGACTGTGAAATAAAGGAGAAGGTTTGACAAACACAGTGGAAATCAGGATCCATGATCTAATATATATATATATATATATCCTCCTGGGACCTCATATGAGGACATTATATTTCGGTGTATTTCTCTGAGACTATACATGCCACAGTTGTAAGTCTGGAGGTCCTGTACAGAGCACATTCAGGGCTTTTCAGAGATACTAAATGTTTGGATGTTTCATCACAACCACTCCCTCTCCTTGGTCTTCAAATATGTCTGATATTAATTTAGTGACACTCTTATGGAAATATGATAATATTTTGTAATTATCATTTAAATCGGACTAATTTTTAAACTGTGTGTCATAAATCAACATCTCAGGAAAATGTTATGGGGTTTCAAATCAAAATATGACTTTCTGTTACGAATTATGAAAATCTTGTTAAATATTCCTCCCATTATTACACTTCTTTTTTCATTACGTTACCCCAAAAACACATTAATATGCTAATTAGATTTAGTTTATAGATACATTGTATATAATGAGAAAACCCGTTTATGGCCATTTTACACACATTTTGCAGAAAGAAAAATGGTAGATCAAATTATTCTGTTATAACATCGTTGAGAATCATCTTTATACAAAGTTTGGTAAAAAAAAAAAATCCTGAAAACTAAAAATGTATTGGTGATTTTAAAAATCTATTGTTTTTGCCTATGCATGTTCATTCATGTCTTTTTTTCTTTTTTTTTTTTTTAAATCTACCGAGGACATAGCATAACTTATGAATGAAACATAATTTTTAAAGAAATAAAAAAAAAATTATGCTCTAAACAATGTAAAGACTTGAAAAAAACTATTTTTTTCCTAAAAATCTTTTCTCGGGTCTTAAGAGGTTAAATTACACATTTAACAAAAAATGTTCTAATCATTAACAGTCCTTTACTGGTTGTTAATGCAGAACAAAGAGGCAACATTCATGTTTCAGGTTTTTAACAGCTGAAGTGGTCGAGCTTCAAGAGCAGTCTTTGTTACACAGAAACAACTGATCTAACTGTCTCTGAAACATAGGCTCTATTCCCAGAAATGGTCTGACTATCTTCAGTACGTCACAAATGTATTCACCACACAAGTCAACAAAATAAAACGGAGTAAAATCTGCTCACCCAAAAGAAGTGCCCACTTCATCTCCATGTTAGGAAACCGTAAACAGCTGCTTTCTAAGTGAAGTACTTTTTATGCTTTTTGAAGGTTGAAGATATATTAAATTCCCAAAGAAAATCAGTCTCCAGCTGTTACTTCACGTCCTCAAACTCTTCAGCTCTTCGTCTGGTATCTAGCTCTCCTGTTATTCCTCCTACTAGAAAATATAATTTCCAAGAAAGCCCAGAAAACAAAAAAAGAAAGGGGCGTGTCGAGTTATATTTACTGCTGTAGAAAGCCTGAGCCTCACAACAAGCATTTAAATTGTCACTGACATCTTGTGCAGGACAAATAAATTCGAAAGTGAAACTGAAAGTGAAACAAGCTGCATCTCTGCAGTCGGCGCTGAAATGTTAGAAACTTCAGTTCTGAAATTAGTCCATTAAACTATTTTCAAAGGATTCAGAAAAATGTCTCATGATTTAACCTCGCACAGCGGCTGAAAGAGGTCTATATTTTTACTTGGTCAACATCGAGACAAAAGCAATAACATACTGATCCATTAGGCTACTGATTACAGATCCAGAGGAAGGAATCAAAAACAAAGGTGTCAGCTTCCATACCAACTGTTATTTATTATTTATTTATTTATCGCAAATATAATATGAATGACTCCTGTATTCAACACTTAACACATTAATATATAAATGGCCTACCTTCACAGCCTAATATGAACTAAACCAAAAGACTTGCACACACTTACTAATAAAACAACTAGAGAATAAATCATTACACAAACAGACAGAAAAGGCTCCTAATGTTTTTATGGGGCATGAATATTAATGATCCATCAGGATATCGATCCCTCATTCTCCGATCACCCTGTAGAGGTTGCGTTTGTCGTCCAAAAACAGAAAAAAGAAAGAAAAAGAACAAACATTATCGTGCACATAGACATTTGCCTGATTGTTATTGGACTGCTTGATGTTAAAATATGTGGTTTCTTCTCTTTATGCACATTTCTTTGCTTCGACCTGAAGGGGGAGACACAACACTGAATAATCCGTTGGCGACACTTAAATGAGCGCGAAACTAATGTCAGCAGATGAAAGTGAAACGATCTACTCATCCAGAAAAGTCAATTTCAGCTCTATATTACGAAAGAGATGTGATTTCTGTAATCTTTTAAATTCCCAGTCAAAATTCACATTAATTCCCTCAGTCACGTCGCGCCCTCGGAGTCTCTGAGTCTCTGTCCATCTTTAGATGTTTGACTTTTTTCCAGAAGCCTCCATTCGGTTTTCCCCTTGTTTTTGTTTTCCTGCTCACCCTGTTGAAAAAACCAGCATATGCTGGTTAGGTATGTTTTGACGCTGGGATGCTGGTCCTTTGCTGGTTTATG